CTCCTTGGCTGTGCCTCAGCTGATCTCCCACAGATGTCTGCATGTGCCCTTTGCCAAGGGGACTTTGCTGGCCATGCTAGCTCCTTATGCCTAGTCTCCCCTTGCCAAGCCTTTTGTGTTCCTCCTCCGCCCTCATGGGGCTCGCAGTCACCCCAGTTTACCAGCATCTGCCCATACCATTAACGTGCCATTTACCCCCTCTCCTTGGCTACCCAATGACTTGATCAAAATAAAGTCAGAGCAAAATTCAAACAGATGGTAGCTGCTCTTTTCATCCCATCCTTTTCCATTTCTTTTATCAACATGCTGTATTAGCACAAGCCACACAATCATACTTTTCTCTCAGCTCAATTTTGCCTCCACTATGACAGCCAATGTAGTTCAGGTCCTATCAAGTCACCTGAAGGCACTGGACAGAAAACCCTTCAACTGGGCTCAGAGCAGAGACACCTCAGGATAATTTAACTGGTGAGAGATAAAAAAGAAAACTTGTTTCACATAAATGAGACGAAGTACAAGGTGCCTTACAGATACGCGGGCCGATGAGCTATAACCCTGAGTGTATGACACTGCAAAAGCTGCATACAAATGAGCAGGTAGTACTGAGAGGTAATCAGCTGATGACATGACAAGTTTAGCCCTGACTCATCTAGAGAGCTTCTCATTTTAGTGGCAGATCAGACCTGCATGTTACACAGTCAGCACAGCTCGATTTAACAAAAGGACATCAACCAGGGACTACAGCCTTGGTACGCTGCGCTACTGAGTCTAACCAGTAAAGACAAGACTGCCGTTGCCTCGGAGAAAGCACTGCCATCATCTCCAGCTTCCTCTCCGTCAGAATGACTTCAAGAGTGCAGAGGGTGGGATGGGGTAGCACAACGCAGGCAGCAAAGGCAGCTGCCCTTCCAAGGGCATTTTTCAGCCCTCACTGTGCATTAGATGTCAGAGCTGGACTCAGGTCTGGAAGAGAACTGAGATTTTGCGAAGAAGCATAGACAGTCTAGACATACATTTGCTAGAAGGAGGAAAGCTGCCAAATAACAAAGATCTCAATTACAACATGACAAGCATGGAACAGCCTTCTTGTCTCTGAAATAATCACATCAACAGGATAACAGGGGCCTTGATGCATACCAGCAGCTATGAGAAATCTATGCACACAAATTCGTGCAATCCACCAAACTGACGCTGAACTGAGTGAAGAATGTGTATGGGAACACTCAGAGATACACAAAAGACCTGAGGTAACTCCATTTAGAGCATAGCAGCAAGCTAAGCAAAACCTGACTATCCAGGAGTATTACATGGAAAAATAAAGAACACCCACCACCTGCTCATGTTC